GTCCTTTCACAATTGCGCCATTCTACAACAAATCAGAAATAAAATCAACGAAATTCAATAAATAGTTAATACGAGCAATCTTAAAACGAATATAACTAATTAAGTTTCAATTTTGTAATAAAAGCAAATACGGCTTATTTAATTATCATCATTAAATTAAAATGAACTTGGTTTCAAACATTATATAAATACATGGCAAACATATTTAAATTTATAGAAATATTGATTGATTTATGAAATATTATTGAGCTCTTGTTTTTACTTCCTTTAAAACCTGCCAATTTTAATTTTTTTTTTTTTTATTATCAATTAATTCTTACGGTTCCAAGATCTAGTTTTTTAATGTAGCCTAAATAATTAAGCTTTTTGGATTCTTCCTGCTTAGCAAAGTAAATCCAGTCATGCAAGCCAATGATTTCATTATCGAACTTTTCAGCCAAAAAGATTGTTTCAAAACCGGAACTAGAAGCATCACCATCGATGCGTTTAAACTGGGAGAACCAGATGCGCTTAAGCGTATCTTTAAATTCATATTCATCATTAGGCACATATCCTTTATCAGCTAGAAACTTCATTGTCTCTTTCATAATATCAGTAGCAATAACTGCATCGAGTAAATCTGACTCCTCCCTGCGTTTTTCCGGTGTCATATTTTCTTTGGTCTTGACGTCAAGTTCATAATTATCATGCAAAGCCAAAACTGCTTTCACAGTTGGAATTTCGTATGCTTCGGGTTTTACTTCCAATAAACTATAAAATATAAGAAATGTTTAATCAATAAAAGTATTCAATATATAATTAAAAAAAAGTTTTTGCGTCATAAAGACAGATAATTCTGTCTTTATGAAAATAAAAAAATCATACCTAATATTTCATATAATTAAAGTTTCTTATTTATAATTATTCATCGTAAGTGTTTTATTATATTCAAGAATTATAACAATTTAATGTAAAAAAAGTTTATTAAGGACCCTAAATGATTTAAATATAATTGCATCACTTAATCATTCTAATCAAAGTAACTACTGTAATTTTATAGAAGTGGTAGAATAGTGTTTATAGTATAAAAAAAAAAAGATAATATCTCAATTTTTGTTTTAAGAACTTATAAATTATTTAGTTAATTAGACATTAATTATTTGTAAGTTGAATTTCATATAAAATACATAAAATCATATAATTTTAAATATTTTAATCTTTATACAACAAGATCTGTTTTGTATATCATTTATAAATATCCACACATTTTGTAAATAATATATTTATTATATTAAATTCTTATATAAATTATATACATGAAAAAATATTACATAAAATATAAAAAGCGATTGTTTACAAAGAAATCCCATGTAGTTAAATTTATTGTTATTGAAAATAAAAATAAATTTTTCTTTAAACTGAAAGAATTTCAGACTCACTTATCGGTAGCATCGTCAGTCGTGCTATCATCTGTCTTATGTCCTTGAATATTTATGGTGATATACTTATACGCGTTGTTCGTATCTTTTGCAAAAAGATTTTCCGTGAGCTTCTGCAACTCTGAATCAGAAATAACGGAACCCGAAGGACTTGGACCGTTTTGATGTGTTTGATCGTTGAGTGGTACTACTTGGTTAGGTTCAGGATTGCTAACAGCGGGTGCTGGTGCAGAGGGTGCTGAGTTTGAAACCGGAGCAGTGGCTGCAATAACAGCAGGAGCTGCTACTGGAGCACCAACAGAAGCTGCCGGTTGTGTTTCGGAACCATTATTGTAATAATTATTGTAGGTAATTTGTGTATGTGATACGGGAGGCACCACACCTGAGCTCGACACCGAACTATGACCATAAATTCCACCTAATAAATAATAAAAATATATAAATCCTATTTTTAGCATCTTTAAATTCAACAATATAAGGAATTTTTCGTAGACAAAGTTGTATATTACACTATTTCAAATTAAATGATTAGTAGTTTATATAGTTTTAAAGTTATAACTCTAAAGGTATAATAAATGTTATGATTATTTGATACCTTCATCATTTTTGTTAATATCAAAATTCTTATCGACATTTCTCAATGTATGATAGCATTGCAACGTATTGAATTCATTTTTTGTGTTTATTTTTCACGGAATATTTATATTCGTAAAAAAAATCATTAAAAAAATGTGTCAATCTTTCTAATTATCTCGGAAACATTAACAATGTAAGGATTTTAATCTATACTACAAGATATATCAAATTTGAAAAAATCAAATAAGAAATTAATTAATTCTGAAAGAAATAGGTAAATCATAAGCATATCATTATAATTGTTAATAATGCGATTATGTCTAGAATTAAAGTAGTCAAAATTAAAGAAAACTCGAGATAAAATATAATTTAAGCAAATTATAATTATTTCAAAACTTTATCAGCAAAAAAGAGTCATTAAGTTTTTAAAGCTAATAGGAAAAATTGTTTTCCAATAATATTATAATAATATCTAATAATATAAATTCTTATGCCAAGATAAGAAGTTAACAGCAAATGACCATACAAAATGTCATACCTTTATTTTATTAGAATATTGGATAAGATTTTAAATCAATAAACAAATCGTTGAAATATATTCAAGTTGAAAAGAGAATTTTTGTTAAGAATTTTCCAATTATAATTCTTATTGGCAATATGATACTAATTTTTCATAAATAAGTTAGATTTCATTTCCTATTTTATTTTTACTATTATTACTTCCTCCAATTGAGCTGTCTTTCTTCCTTTTTAAAATTAAAAATAAGATGCCCTTCCTTGTGGAATATAATAAATTCTTTTTTTTTATTGTAACACTTTTATGGACACACACAGTAGAAATATTATTAAATATTTAGAATATTATAAAAATTAATATTTGAAACAACTATAATTTCTTTATTTATCAAATATGGAACACATTTCATTAAAAATTCTTTTGAACATGCTATCAGAGATAGCTGATTATTTTCCGAATAGGAAAGTTAATAAATTTTCTATAATCCTCCAGAAATATAAAAAAATAAAGAAGATTGTAGAATGGCATTAGTCCTCAATGTACTGGCAATTATGTATCGTGCGTAATGGAAATTGCGAGTGAAGAAGCTTATCATACAAAATTCAGATAGCTTAACATGATCTTAACACTTCGTAAGTAAATGAGTTTGGTGATGCGGTTTGATACACTCACCAGGTAAAATTCTGTTAACGGCGGCATTGACTCCAGCACTGACACCAGCAAATACAAAAGCTTCTTTGGCGAGTTGTCCAATACCGGGACGTGAAGATTGCGATTGTAATATCACGGTTTGTGGTTGCTGCCCGTAAGACGGTGAATGTCCGCTAAATCCGTGACCACCACCATACGATGGATTATACCCTTGTCCGGGAACACTACTGAAGCCGTGTCCAGCGCCATATGACGGATTATAACCACCGGAGGGATTGTAACCACCATAACCACCGGAGGGATTGTAACCACCATGACCACCTGATGGATTGTAACCGCTATGGCCGCCTGATGGATTATAGCCATTGTAGCCGCCCGACGGATTATAGCCATTGTAGCCGCCCGATGGATTATAGCTACCTGATGAATGATATCCACCTGATGGGTTATAACCACCTGAAGGGTTATATCCACCGGATGGATTGTAAGATTGCTGATTGCCGTGAACTCCTGAACATATGAACAATATTTACAAGATTTTTTTAATCAAGTGCCAAAAGTATATATAAAATTTAATTCGTAATACAAATTAAAGTCCAATCGTGTCCGTGTAGTACAAACCTGTTGCACTAGATGGATATCCCGAATGAACATTGGTAGCACTTGTTCTTGATATGTGCTCATTTGGTGCTGATGCCTTTGGAATGGCACTACCGGTGCCAGTACCAGTTACAGGTTTATTATTTGACGGAACATTCCATCCTATAGTACCAGGCTTAGAGCCACCTGCAATTACACAAGTATAAAGCTTTTTAAAAACTTTTCAACCTATCACTATTCTATACACTATTTTGTAATAGTATCGTTATATTTAGTACTTCTACGACAAGTGCTATATTTAAATTTTCAGACCTCAATTTTAGCTTATATATATATATATATATATATATATATATATATATAAGCTTCA